AAAATAAATTAAACTAAACAAAAATGAATGAAAGGAAATTAAAAGTAATTAACTAAACTAAACAAAAATAAATGAAATTAAATTAAGCAAAATACAACAGAGGGCAACACAGTGTCTTAGTAGTTAGCACTGTGGCACGAAGTTCGCTGGTTCAAGTGTGTGCGCGTGTGTGTGAATGAGTGTGTATGAGTGTTTTCCAGTGCTAGGTTGCAACTGAAAGGGCATCCACTGTGTAAAACATATGCTGGAATAGTTGGCGATTAATTCGGCTGTGGCGACCCACAATAAATAAGTTACTACAACACACTATAAGGCACTAATAACAACTCAGCACGAAGTTTAACTAAACAAAAAAAGTAAAGTAAACAAATCCTAGCTCAGGTTCAGTTCAGAGCAGATCTGCATCATTCAATATTCAGTATATGAACAGACGGATATCTCACACATGAGGGATCAGCATTCTGTCGACTGTTTTGTAGGAATGGTAATCTGAGTCCAATCAATAAAGGCTTGTTCAGGCTGGAAACACTCAGCTGTTAATGGACTGTCACACACGCGCGCACACACACACACACACACACATACACACACACACACACACACACACACACACACACACATACATACATACACACACACACACACATATACATTGACATAATTTTACTGCATTCCTGCCTTGAGGAGGTATGAATGATAAAAAATATTGTTATTGAAAAGAGAATTATTGCTTTCATATTCATGGAGGCCAAATTGAAACTGAATTTCCATTGATTGCACACCCTTGGATAGTAGTATTAATTTAACCCTTTGTGCACAAATATTTTACTAAGGGTTGACGGAGCACTACTTTATTTTTGAAGTCAATTAAATTATTTGTAGGGACATTTCAGTAATTGGTGGGGACTCGTCCCCTCCGTCCATGCTAATTCTACACCCTTGAATAATTAACATTAAAATACCAACAAAAGAGGGCATCACGGTGGCGCAGTGGGTAGCACGATCACCTTGCAGCAAGAAGGTCGCTGGTTCGAGCCCCGGCTGTGTCAGTTAGCATTTTAGCTTAGAGTTTGCATGTGGGTCTGCGTGGGTTTCCTCCGGGGGCTACGGTTTTCCCCACAGTCCAAAGATGAGCAATAGGTGAATTGAATAATCTAAATTGGCCATAGTGTGTGAATGCAAAAGTGCATGGGTACTTCCCAGTGTTCGGAAGGGTATCCGGTGCTGGATGAGTTGGTGGTTCATTCCGCTGTGGTGACCCCTGATTAATAAAGGGACTAAGTCGGCAAAAAAAGAAGAATGAATACCAACAAAAGAAACATATACCATTCTCTCAAAGTATACCAATATTATCTCTTACACAACTACAAAACAAAAATCAAACACAAAAATGACACTATGGTATGGAAAACCCCCAAAATACTTTTTTTAAATGATGACTTAATATACAAAATTATGCATATTCACTTCCTTTCACTGTAAGTGCGCCATTTTGCGTAGCTTGCATCAATCATTCCTTCAGCATAAGAACTAAGCGGCTATATTTTGAGACTGACGAGGCGGCGTATGAATAATGTTGGTTTTATTTTTGGTTTCAATGTTTAATTTTAGGTTAAAACACTTTTTCATTTTTGCCTTCATCACTATTAAAAAGTTCTTCATGTACCTTGATACAATGGTCTAAATGTTGTAAACACTCAAAACAGCAGAGGAGCATCACTTGCACATTTGCTATTCATGTCATTACTAACCGCATGTCTCAAATCAAACACTCACACAAGTGCTTTAGAAAAAGTCCCCAAAACTCATGATTCATAACATATCTGGAAATAAAAATGATCAATGCATTAAACTAAACCACAGTTCATTCATTGGCACAAAATTATGGTGATTATTGACGTTCAAGTGAAACGATTTTAAGGCTTTTTTTTTAAACAAACAAGCAGGTACCTTCAATACTCAAATTTGTGAAAAATACGCACAGTGTAGCTCGTGAAGGTTTATACAATTTCCTATCACAGAGCCGAAGCACATTAATACAAATACACGCAGGAACACCAGTGTGTGTCGCTTCACATGACTATTTTCTAGTGCAAAAGCACACAGTCCTGACTGTCCTCATCTCAGCAGGGCAGGCTTTCATGTGTGTGTGTGTGTTAAAAACAAAAGCAGACAGTTTCAGAACTGCAAAACCAAGGCCTCTTGATAGGTGCACTTCCAGCCTGCTATCTGATATTTGGATTAAAATGAAGGACTCAAATAATCAATAACACACCCATGTGATTCTTATGTGTCTCTTCCAAACATCCGAGCACCATAGAAGTTTCCTAAAATTGGGCCATGCATTTACACATAACATCATCTGTGCATTATTATTTACTATTAATCATGGAATGTGCATTAGGACGGTCCCACTTCCAGACGGATTTCTTACACATTTTCGAAAGTAGAGCTGTGGTGTTAAAAGTTTTAGAAATTGATTATGTCATGATTTACAAAATGACAAGAGGGTGCACTAGGCTTGTTTTTAAACAGCAGATGGCACTGTAGGCTAGTTTTTAACAGCAGATGGTGCTCTAGGCTAGTTTTTAAACAGCAGATGGTGCTCTAGGGTAGTTTTTAAACAGCAGATGGTGCTCTAGGCTAGCTTTTAACAGCAGATGGTGCTCTAGGCTAGTTTCAAACAGCAGGTGGCGCTGTAGGTTAGTTTTTAAACAGCAGATGGCACTCTAGGCTAGTTTTTAAACAGCAGATGGCACTGTAGGCTAGTTTTTACCAGCAAAGGGTGCTCTAGGCTAGTTTTTAAACAGCAGATGGCGCTGTAGGCTACTTTTTAAACAGCAGATGGTGCTCTAGGCTAGTTTTTAAACAGCAGATGGCGCTGTAGGCTAGTTTTTAAACAGCAGATGGCGCTGTAGGCTACTTTTTAAACAGCAGATGGTGCTCTAGGCTAGTTTTTAAACAGCAGATGGCGCTCTGGGCTAGCTTTTAACAGCAGATGGTGCTGTAGGGTAGTTTTAAACAGCAGATGGTGCTCTAGGCTACTTTTTAAACAGCAGATGGTGCTCTAGGCTAGTTTTTAAACAGCGGATGGCACTCTATGGTGTTGTAGGCTAACTTTTAACAGCAGAGGATGCTCTAGGTCGTTTTTTTTTATGGCCGAAGGCGCTCTAGACTAGCTTTTAACTGCAGACTAAACTCTATGCTAGGTGCTACAGGCTAGTTTTTAACAGCAGATGGTGCCCTAAGCTGGTTTTTAACAACATTTTAACTCTGTAGGCTAGTTATAAACGTCAGACAGCACTAGCTTATTGTTGAACCACAGACAACACTCTAGGCTGTTTTAACTGTACAATGTTCACAAGGAAAAGCACTTGTCATGTAAGGCTTCTTTTATGTCAGGATATTAATGTAAACGCAGCTCACTATAAACATTTTCCCACACATTTGTCCATTAACAATTATTTTAGGTTCAAGCGGTATTTGTAAGGAAATAGATGCAAGCAGGGCACAGCTGTTTGTAAAGCATACAGAAAAACTCAGCTCGGAATTGATTTGAGAGAGAATAGAGATGCATTTTGAATCGATGCCGAATTAATTTCTCAAATGACTTCACCACAGCTCTACTCAGAAGACTTCGCAAACATTTTCTGGACCACTATTACGCACGTTTTACGGTGTTTTTAAATCCTTTTTCAATTGTAAACGCACCAGTAGCCATTTAAGGTGAATGCTTGGAAAACACAGAACAGAACAGCCTTCCTCAAAAGTAATAAAGTCATACAGGTATGAAACATGGACGGTGAATGATGAAAACTCACTTGTGGCTGAACCATCCTGTTAAACATAAAGGTATTACAATTGTCAAGCTGGATCAGTACGGTTTATCTAGTGGTAGTAAAGACAGGCTGACAGTAGATGCAGTCTAAAACATACCAAATGTTACTGTCAGGCTTAAAGGATGACAAATACCCCCCCCCACCCCCCAAATCATCAGTGTTTCCTCTCACAACTACACTCTACCAACCAAAGCCAAAACCATTGATAGATAGAACCAAAGCAACACTAGCTGAAGAAGCAGACCAAACTTCAGGTCAAAAGTCAAACACTGATGGCCTATAATACAATTGGAGCCTCATCTCTCAGTTGCTGCTGCGTTGGCAAATAGGTGAGGAACATACAGTGGTATTGTGACTGGGGGATGAAGTAAAACATATTGTAAGCAGAGAAAAGAAAATATGGACACCCATTTTGAGTATCCGCACATCAGAACATCCAAACACTGATATATACACAACACACAGTCTGTCCGCCGCCTCGTGAAAAGCCAGAGACAAAGAAACCCTGTGGAGGCTCTTCAATGCTGAATGTAAGGATTGTGGGGTAGTGTGACTATTGAAAGAGAGAAGATGGAAGAAAAAAAACAGGAGGTGAGAAACAGGAGAGGTCATGTGTGGCAGCACTACAGTGACTGTGAGATCAGAAAGAGTCTCGTCCATTGAGGTCAGTTCCATATCCTGAGGAAACTATCCCAAGAACCGGTGGCCACAGCCATGCCATCACTGGTCACCCCCAAACAGCTGACCCTGTTGTCATGCCCAGCTAGAACGCCTTCAAATCGACAAAAGAGCAGAAAAAAAAAGCGTTAATAGTTTACAGACTACAGGGCTTTTCACATTACACTTTACAGGAGGACAATTCTGTCATTATTTACTCAACCTCATGTTGCTTCAATGGCCTGAGACCTTGTTCATCGTTACAACATGAATCAAGAAAAGATAAAAGATGCAAATTCGCGTCTATTGTGAATTTCATATGCAAATAAAGCAAATTTGACACACAAATGAAGCGAGTAAACTCAAAATGTTCACACATCTATTTACGTGTGAATAGTGCCTTTTTTTTCCTGCATGCTGCGTCTGGTATAAATACTTTATACTGACACTAACGGCAGATTCAAACGGGGCTTCAGTGTTGATGTTTAAGAGAGGGCGTGTCTGAAGTTGGGGCTGACGAGATCGTCATAGCAGCGTCAGCCAATGAAATTAGTCCGCAATCGGTTACTATCTGAGCTGGAATATTTGCATAAAGCTATTTGATTGGCTGTTTTCACATCTCTAGTTAGGAAAAAGTTAGGAAAGTGGGTGTGTCCAGCTCTGTTTAGGTGGGAGTGTTGGGGGAGGGAAAGATGGAAGGTGCATAAAAATGTGCATAAAAATGTGAGTTTCCGTTTGGGCACGCGCTGATTTTCACAGAGGCAAAACAAACATACAGACACAGGGGAGAGACATGGACATCAGTAATCGAAGGGGCTTCAGCGTCAATGTTTGAGAGAGGGCGTGTTTGAAGTTAAGGCTGACGCAATTGTCATAGCAGCGTCAGCCAATGAAATTAGTCCACAATCGGCTACTATCTGACCTGGAGTATTTGCATAAAGCGATTTGATTGGCTGACGCGTCCATTGGCTCTTGAAAAGTTGAGAAATTTTCAACTTCTGCAGCGAGCAATGCAGCTGAAGTGGCGAAGACGCATCCACAATGCAGTACGGCAATGCCTGACGTCACCCATTCAAAGTCAATGGGAAGCGTTGATGCTGACGCCCCGTGTGAATGGGGCATCAGGAGAAGAAACTGTTGAATTAAGTCTTTATTTTTGTTTTATGTGTGCAGAAAATAATTTTTGTAGACACATGGACTGTTTTGACAATGTTTTTTTTTTATCTTTCTGAACTTTAAAAATCTCAGGACCATTGCTGTCTTTGGATGACGAGAGAGCTCTCATATTTCATTAAAAATATCTTCATTTGAGTTGATTTGAAGGTCTCAGGGGTTTAGAACAACATGAGGGCGAGTAATAATTGACAGAATTTTCGTTTTTTGGGTTAACTATCATTTACAGATGGTGTAGGTCAGGGGTGCTCAATCCTGTTCCTGGAGATCTACCTTCCTGCAGATTTCAGTTGCTACCCATATCAAACACACCTGAACCAACTAATTAGGACCTGAACACCACTTGATAATTACAGGCAGGTGTGTTTGATATGGGTAGCAACTGAAATCTGC